GTCTGACGGCCGATTTTACACAATTTCATAAAAGTCGGATCTAGCGTTTGCTTCAAATGTTAACTCACGGCACAGGGTCTCAATGAATCTTTTGTTTTCCATGGACCGTGTAAAGCGTAACGTATAGTCGTTCGCGAAAATTTTTTATTGTCGTATCTTTTAAAAACATATTCTTCGTTTAATTGAGCTGAAACTTCCCAAAAATATGCCTCAGCCATTGTCAACTTTGAAAAAGCAAAAGATAAATGAATTGACCAGTAGGTTATTTTTGAAGAAAAACATATCAGATGTTACAGATATATGTATGGGGCAACGATAAGGGAATACAAATGTGCTTGGCCGGTTTAAATCAAGTACGTTTAAAACCGGTCTTTTGGTATGTGCCTCGCGCGCGTAGTGCTAAATGTCCCCTTATATTGAGATTTGGGTGCGCTCGGAGCGTATACTGCGTGATGTGACCCAGAACGGAGGGATGTTTTATCAACAATTTAAAACCACCAACGTGACGTGTTCACGACCAATAGGAATGGATAAACTGTGTCAGGTATTTATGAATTGTTATAAATATCTACATGAGTTGGAGAAATATTTGCGACTAAATAAGACTGGTTGGCAAATGCTGATAATAACCGGAGGCGAAGCTAGCTAGTCCCCCAAGCACACATTCATTCCCTGATTAACATAGCTCTATACAGACTGGAGTCGTAGCCGGTCTGGACCGATGATATTACTGTATCCAAACACACAATATAACAATGTGATTTAGGCCTATCTCTCTCTATCTCCAGTCCTTGAAAAAATTTAACCTCACAATGTACTCTGTGGCTAGAGCACGCGGGACAACGACGTACAGCTTAGATGCGCCCGCCAGTCATGTTGGAAGATTGATTGTTTGAACACAGTGCACGAGGGGGTGACGGAGAATGGAGCCTTCCCGTAGGAGATAAGAAAACATCAAATTCTTACTCAGCGGAATATCATCGACGTCATTACACACCGGCCTCGCGTTACACCATAAGTCATAGGGGATGTTTTCAGGCTACGTCAACAGGGTAATCACACCGTGACTTGAAGATCAAACTCCCTATGGCGGTGGTGCAACAACAAAATTCAGGTTCTTAGTAAAAACAAAATGATTGAAAAAGCAAAAGGTAAAGTAACTTTAATGTAGGAACGTAGCTCGAAGAGTTTGACAATTAGATTTGTCATTCCCAAGTTAAAAAGGGCGGCAAGTTTTAATTCCAGAGTTGACATTTGAGCTGTCAATAATTGACATTTCTAATTATTTGAAATGCCATAATGGACGTGTTTATGCCTCGTGAATAGAGTTACCGATTTACAATTGACAGTAAGCGCGACCGGCAAACAAGTTTCGTTCGAACCCAACCCCGTCAGGCCACAATACGGGCCTGATAAAAAATAAATATAAATACAAAATGAAATAGGACATAGTCATATGAAAAGTGACAATAAGAATAAGACTTTGACTGCGTTATTTTAAATTATTTTAAATAAGCCATCTTAAAAAAAAGAAACTCTCAGTTACTCTACACATTTTGAAAATTAAAATTATGTCCCCGATTTTTCTTCGTTAAATCACATTCATAAATACCTCAGACAGTTTACGCATTCCTATTGGTCGAGAACCCGTCACGTGGCCGGTCTTAAACGGATGATAAAGACATAACTATAGCTGGTCTTAAAACGCTTTTTCAGTGTCACATGAAATTTGGACTTCTATGAAATCCGGTGCCTTTTAACGTTTCATTGGCTGAACGTTCAAATTCCTCCCGTATGCATGCGCAATGTACTACCAGTGAATCAGTATTTCATGGTCCAAAATTCACACTTCACCTGCCCAGCTGCTTTTTGCGCGACATCGCGCAGTACGCGCGACGCGCACGCCAATGTCCCAATTAGGTAACGAGTTGTGGAGGGGCATTCCATATTATAGTCAGAGGGGTGTTTCGTAAAACATGATGTAAAATTGTTGAACAAAATGGTTGGCAACGTCTAGTTTTTGACATTTTTTTTTTATTTTGGACCGAAAAGGTATTTATGAATGAGAATAAATGTGTGTTCGGTCGGTATTAAACACTCTGTTTAAGACCGGTTTGAGTCTGGATGGGCGATAATTACCCGAGGTGAACCATCCAGACTCAAACCGGTCTTAAACAGAGTGTTATAATACCTCCCAACACACATTTATTCCCTTATTATTATATTGTGTGTTTGGAAAAATTGTTATATTGTGTGTTTGGATACAGTAATGTCATCGGTCCAGACCGGCCACGTCTCCAGTCTGTATAGAAGTTTAGAACTATATTAATCAGGGAAGAAATGTGTGCTTGGGGGACTGGTATTAAACACTATGTTTAAGACTGGTTGGAGAATGCTGATAATTACCCGAGGCGAAGCCGAGGGTTATTATCAGCACCAAATATCAGCATACCGACCAGTATCAGTAAGACCACAAATTAAACCCACTATTTATCTAAATTACATGAACTTAGAATTTTTGTTTTGATTTGTACACAGCTTCCAGCTGTTTGCTGTTGCCACAGTAATTAGGTATGATAATATTTTTGCCATCCATTATTAAGGTTAATTATACTGCTGCTTTGTGCTGATCAATTGTTAACTCCAGTTAAAAATTGACAATCTTGTGGGGTGGGGGGAAACCACCTAGCCCCCACCCGTAGATTCGCCACCGAAATATTCACATCGGAATTCGCCGGAGTTGGAAAGTATTCGCATTTGGAGAATTTCGGTGTGCGAATCCCTTTTTTGCCATGGTTTCAGGAATTGAAATTACAAAAGTATGTATTAAGCATTAATGTTGATTCATGTCACTTTTTTGATTTGATGACATCAACGATTTTATATTTAAAAAAAATTAGTAACGTTAATTTCAGCATTACATATGTATATATTTTTTTCCAGAATGATAAAAGGAAAATAATTTACCAAAAATGACAAATCACGAGAGTCATTATGCATTGACTTAAGCTAAACTTCCGGTTACAAGACGTCACTATTTGAGGCTAAAATCAAGAAATGTAGTTGATTATTTAGTTGTTTCCTAATTTGTAAAAAAAAAAAAAAAATCGTTGTTTTTGTAGTTTCAATTAATCATCAAGCGGCAAAAAAAGAAACAGTAAAACATGTTGGCGTTTTGTAAAATGAAAACGCCATTAAAGATATAGTCCATCATTTGTAATTTGTGCATTTTGTTCGTTTGAAGCAACAAAAGTGTTCAAAATCTAAAGAAGAGTACTGAACAAATAACCTGATGAAGTTTCAGCTCAGCTTCAGCTGTATATTCCGAGAAAAGCAGCATTCTAGGATCTCGGTTTCAAATCAAAAGTTGCTGAATCATGTTTTGAATTGGGCCTGAATTCAGCGTCCGAAACACGTTCTCACTGAGCCGATTGCAGCTACGCGATGTCGCGCACTGATCCGACGAATTATAGCAACCGCGCGCGCGTGTGAGTCGTGCCAATGCTTGCGCGTGTTTCGCCGAATAACAAAACGAAATACTATAATTTAAATTTTCCTACGGTGCGTCTTAAGACGCACCGTTGGAAAGGCCTTCTTTCGTTGATTACTTCAAAATGACAGCTTGCCAGAAATAATAATTTCACAGGGAGTTTAGTCCCCTTACTATCTTTCAACGGCCAAGTATGTTTTTCAACAATAAGTACGCCAGCTACTTTTCAGATAGCTGCAAATGATGGACTACAGCTTTAATATGTCACAACCAATACAAGCGGTAATACATGTAGCTATGGGCTCCGTGTACAAGTACTCCTTCAACGGCCAGAAAAGGAGAGTTGGGGGAGACCTAGCCTGGTTTCCGGTCCATTCACTGCGTATTTCGAATGATCCGAATTTATTGGGGGCTGGGATTAGCCTGGGAGACCATCGCGAAGACGCTTTGGGCCTTATTCACGAGTTGGCAATATGTTCTCTGAACATATATCATTAATGCTTAACTTGTTGAATGGGATGACGCCAGACTATTTTTGCAGGCATAATGCAGCCTTTTTTACTGTCATTTTTTTTTTAAATCTGGCTTTAAACATTCGGGCACGTTTAATTACCAATTTTAAATTATTCATTTAAGCAGACTGGAATTAATTAGTTCTTAAGTTGCTATCATTTCTCTACACAAGTTCCAAAAATGAAGATTTTACCTCACTCTCGATCCAATATGGCCGATTCGTGAATAAGGCCCATGGCAAGATAAATAAGTCGTGCGTACTTCGCGCGCGAACAAGTGCAGTAATGGGCTCTAAAAAGTGGTAAAACGCACCCTCTTTGTTGGCGCCATAGGCGCACGGAGCCCACCGAGCTATATTAATTGAGATATAGGTTTTACCTGCCCCAGCTTTTTAAGGAAGAAAAATCGGGGAAAATTTGTCAGACCCATAATTATACGATTTTCCCCTCCCCATCCCCGACCCAAAACTTGGATACAGTATTAATTGAGCTTGATTTACCTGAAAACAGCACCAGCAGCATGGTTGCCGCTACTAGGCAACGGGTTATACAGGCGTGCAGTTCCCGTGGCATGTCATTTTGATCTATCCAATTGAAAAGGCAAGCGTGCGTGCTCGCGCAAAGAAAGTCACCGATTCACAGCAAGCATTGAAGCGAAAATACATGTAGGCCTACGTCTATAGACCGAGACTGAGAGCGAAATATAAGGCCCTGCTGCTTTCGGCAAAATGCAAATGTGAAGCCGGTGATCTGATAACTAAACTTCCTTTTCCCGAGATCTCAATTCTTGCGAACAGTAATTTCCTGTCAACAGATTTTTGTAAAGCTGATTCATGTTTCATGATCTGAAAACTAAAAGTCATTCTTTTCCCGATCTACTTCTTGCGAACGATATTTTCCTGTCAACATAATCTAAGATCTTCAGGAAACATTGTTGGTGTTCTGAAACAAATATACTCGAATTCCATTAAAGCGACTTAACAACCGACAAGATAGAGATGGAATCCAAAGCCGAAAATGCAACTGACTTGATCGATACTTCGGGGGATGACGCAATGGGACCAAGTTACAGTCAGGTTCTGGGAGCTACATCAGGGCTAGCTGGTATCCTGGGCAATGGCCTGGTCTGCTTCGTCATGCTCAGGTATCGTTCCGCTTTCAGCTCTGTTACCAGTAAGCTGATGCTTCACCAGTCCGTCGTGGACTTCGTATTCTCGGCTCTGATGTTGTCCACTCGGCTTTATACCCCTTGGACCAGCTTTTACTGCCGCTTCTTTCGCGGTTGGCTGTATTGGACCCTCGCAAATGTCTCCAGCTTTAGCCTACTGCTCATCTGCTGTGACCGTTACGTAGCAGTCTGCCACGCCGCTAAGTACCGCCGATGGTTCTCCTTCAAGCGCGTCATGATAGGCCTGGTCTTCGTGTGGCTGCTCCCGATTCTCTGGCAGTTCTACACGTTTCTCTACTACACGCCCGACGGAGCAGCCTGCGTCGCTGTCTGGCCTGAAGGCTCCTCCAGTGTCCAACTCGGCTTTGGTGTGGCCACATTCTGCTGGGAGTACGTCTTACCTCTGGCTCTGATCGTCGTCACCTACGGCCAGACAATTCTGGCTCTTCGTAAACGGCTTCGGGTGAAGGCGAACCAGGCTGCTACTGAACCATCGACCAGCCGTCACAACCCAGCAGGCAACCGGGCAAAGAAGGATCGTCTGCAAACTGCCAAGGTGAAGCTGACCATAACCTTCCTGGTTGTAGCCATCTTCTTCGTCATCTGCTGGGGTCCCGCGGAGATCACCTGGCTCCTCTTTAATTTTGAAATCCTGCCTTTGTCCTACTACAGCACCCTGTGGCATTGGGCTTTTTCTTTGCCTCTCCTGTGTCTCAACTCCGTAGTGAATCCCATCATCTACTTCGTGACTTACACTCACTTTCGAAAGCACCTCATCAAGGCTCTGCGTGGAGGGTGCAAGTTCAACAGAGTCGAGAATGGATCGGTTGAGAATGGTACCGAACAGAGCCCAGACACTGAGTCCAATTCCACCAAGAAATCGGTAAAAGTACCAACAGTGTCTGCATCCATCTCTCAAAACTAACATAACACATAGAATATAGGCCCAGCTTTTTCAGGTCCCTCTCTTCGATCTTAATATCCCTCATCTCCAAACCAACCACGCCACCGGTGTTCTTCCACTGGACATACCTTCTCTCAAAGAAATCAGCTAGAGCCTTCATGGATTCCTTACCATCCAGCAGACCTCTTGGTAGAGAAGTTAAGGCAGTCATACTTACTCACGGTCAATCTGACAAGTTGTAGTGCTCTCTGCATCGTCCTATCTTTCAATACCAACTACATAGTCTAGTAAGTAAAGGTCAACTTGTGACAGGTTTAAGAAAGTGAGCATGGTCAGTTTACTGTTTTTGAGCTAATTAAAGTCACCTTAGTTTTTAAGCTAAGTCATAGAAAACAGTGATGCACTGCATGTGAAACTAGTATCTTTGTGAGTGTCATACCAGTAAAATGCGCATATACACGCACCTGCCACCTTGTCTTCGCTTTTTCTTCAAAATGTATTAAATTTAATGTTAAATTTAATCCATTAAAATAAACGATGCAAAACGTTTCCGTGCCGTAGTCCCCTAATGCATATGCTATATTGGAACTTCAATATTTAGGTGATCGGGTACGAGCCAATGACCTTCACCCTTTGGTTTTATTTTCGTTCTTTATTCGCGTTCGTGTTCTGTGATTTTCCTTCTAGGCAATAATTCGGAACAATACATGAACGTCAAAATTGTTATGAACATCAAGTTGTCATCAACCCTGATACCGAGGTGTGCATACAAGTATGACGCCCTGCTGACGTCATAAGGTGTAAAATTACAACCGATCTTAGTGAAAAAGGTAGCCGTTTTGTTTCAACCATAACTCTCGAGCAAAACGTTGAATCATGTTCATACTTTGTGATCTGACAGATCATGCCTTGATAAATATTTCATGTCAAGTACGTAAAGTCGCTTGACCTTACTTCAAGGGTCAAAGTTAGGTCGGAAGGTCCAAGTTAGATAAACTGAAAATACTAAAAGACGCGTGAATATTAAAACAAAGATGTTAAAGAAATTGTGACGTCATCATGACATAACTTCAATAATATCTCTTGAACTGAATTGATTAACGGATTAATTTTTTTGTGAGGTGGTAGACATTACCTTGGGCAACATTTTTGGTTACCAGGCACAAAACTGCTTGACCTTAAATTCCCGGGTTACTGGAATGCAACAATAAATTAATCTAACTTGAAAACAAAAGCATTTTACTACAGTAATAAATTCAGACAAGTGATTCACTGATCGCGTATGTCGCCTTTTTTGGGCGGTCGAACCCTACTTGTTTTGTGTTCTTAACGAGGTCAAATGTAGTGCATTTTTAAAAAACGACCTGAAATGACCCATAGATTTGCTTGGACCTCCAATTTCGGAAGAGTTGCGATGATCTCCACCCAAGGATCACTCCATCCAAGATACATTAAAATCCATGAAATTTCGTAGACAAAGAAACATTGGAAGCATATTTGAACAATGACCTCTAAATAAACCCTACATGACATTTGACCTGAGTAACCCGATCAAGAATTGTGTCTTGCCACCCAAGGGTAACTGCATCCAAGTTTCATCAAAATCCATGAAAGCATTTAGAAGTTATACATTTGTATAACTTATTGTGTTATTAAATAAAACTATATGTATTTTCTTTATTTTGTTACAAAGACAACGCAAACCTCTAGTTTATCTTCTTTCTTATTCCTGTCTTTTTTTCCGGACAATAATTCTCAGAGATTTCAGATTCATGATGTCGTCAGACCGGAAGTTATTGTAGGGAGAATTTCAAAAACGGTTATTCTAAAATTCAAATCCATTATTTGATCCGCGTTCCGGATCATGTCCGTAGCACAAATAAAGATATCAGGTACAGTGTTGACCTTGAGCTTTCAAATGCCGTGACGTCATCAAACCGAAAGGTAGTTGTTATTAATACATTCACTTAAATTTTCAGTATAATTTTCATTAGGCCAAAAAAAAAAGTTTCCGGTTTCTGGTATGGAGCTTGCCCAAAAAGTGGTGCGGCGACGCGGCTTTTTTTTTTTTACCTGATTTTTTTTGCTTCAAATGTCGGCTGATGACTGCAAATGGTGCCCGACTAAACTTAGTGCAAATATATGGGAGTCCAGAGAGGCCACATAAAGCTTATTCTTGACCATAACCCAATCTAAAAACACGTTAAAATTGTGCAGCAGCAGGATTCCAGTCAAACCAGTGAGTTTGGCGGTTTTGAGACATCATCTTTCATTGAAAAAAAAAACTTTTTCATTTTGCCGACGCGCATGGCTACGGCGACGCGCGCGCATACCAGAAACCGGAGACTTTTTTTTTTGGCCTTATTCAGACTTTTTAACGTCATGTCAAACACAAATCCTTCCTGAACTAAATAATGTTCATAATATACGTGTATATAAAAGTACATGTATATTGAAATTAAACCTACAGTACTCCAAAAGATGCCCTTTTTAACTGAAAACAATTGATTTTTAATGAAAAGGCTGAATTTCATGATCCTTTGTCTGTTATGGCATATTACTCGCAGCTGGGCGTCCTATGAAATAGACTTCGGCCCGATCACCCTGCGTTTGTAACTCAGCAAACGCGAACCTCTAGCTTTTGTTATAACTTTTAGAAAATTCTACTTGGCCCAAAGGTCAAAAGTTGACAGTCTCTGACACAGTTTTCATTTTCTATTTATCATTTGATTAAACCACAATTCTCCTGCGTCATCGACAGCCTATATTCCTTTCGTTTCCAAATAGGCCACTCAAGGCTGTATGAAATCGAAAACAATCGTACGTAAACCGCCTATTGAAAGTCGATGGAGTCTTTAACAGAAAATCCCTTAATTGGTCTAAAAGCCTCCATAAAACCTGCGTGGACTCCTTGTCTATACCTTTTGAGAAATACGTACACCGGATATCCCAATAGTTGATGGATATTTTTAGTTGTGGATTTCTGGAAATAAACACGTACGTTTTTTTCATTCTTGTGGGGTTTTAAATTGTTCAAAAGAATTGGCCATTCTTAATTGAAATTCCTGAAATTGAATCCCATACTTATCCCCCAAAGTCCCTAGATATCAGGTCTCGTGCTGTAGGCATACATTGTTTACACCTTCTTATTAGACTCAACGGAAGAAAAATAACCTTGCGCCAGGGAAATCTCAAAGTTTCTCTTGAAGTGCTCGCTAACGTTGAATCAATCCCCCTGTTAAATCCATTGTTAAATTGTTTCGTTTATTCAATTCTTTATGGAAAATATTCGATGTTTGGTGGCTCAATGTAGACAGGCTATATGATTTGTTTTAAATTACAAATTTTTTTTTGTCAAAATGATATCAAATACCGAATACTTTTTTTAAATTAGTGATATATTGCCTTCGTGTGCGATTTCTTTCCTAATTCACTATGTAATCAAATATATTTAATTCATAGGGGAAAGAGCAGTACTTTATTTTACGTCGTACATTTAGTTGATAATTATTTCCATCTGACTATTATCTCGTAGATACTGTCGTCATAGCTCACATGCCCGTGTCCACTGAGTAAATTAACCTCACAAAAGATTGATCACATAATGTTTTGTTTCGCAAATTGCGTGGAACTGCTACGTGTCAAAAAGTCCTTCTAATCCTAAATAACCCTGTTGTTTAATAACGGAATTAAACGAAAATTTCAGATCATGTAAACAATGCATAGCATTGTGCAAGAGGGTGAGATTTAAACGCCATACAAAATATAGTTTCAGAATGTCGATACGGTGGCGGTAGGCGCGTGCTGCGGCCGAAAGCTTCCGAAGGAATGCAGGATCGCACCTGATGTCATTGCACGCCTCCTCGATCGTGTGTTGCGCCAAACAATCGAGGCAGTGTGCAATGAAATCATGGGTGATCCTGCATTCCTTCAGAAGCTTTCGGCCGCAGCACGCGCCTTCCGCCACCGTATCCAGCGCTATATCAACATTGGAGGACGCCAAGTCGAAAGTGGCGGATTCTGAAAGTACATTTTTTTTTCGTATGACGTTTGAATCTCACCCTCTCGCACAAAGCTGATGAAACTCGCTCCATAAAATTTGTCTTGCCTTGTCTATGATCTAAAATGTTGGTTTAATTCCATTGGTAAACAACATAGTTATTTAGAATCAAAGAGTAGGACACGGTTTTCTTGACACGTAGTACTTTTCAACTGCGTAAATGCTTTAAGAGTGTAAGCAACAATTTTCTCCACAAAACACTGTGCGAGTAAATAAATTTGAGCACTTTACGTAAAAATGTTGTCATAGCAAGTCACAACAGAATTGCGATGTGTGAAAGTACCCGCTGTATTAAAATAAATCATCCGTCTATCATCGCACCGTCTTGTTTAGTGTCATTAGTGAACGCAGAAAAATCCTTGCACGCATGGGCGTCGCCATGATTTTTTCCAGAGGGGGCAAAACATATTTTTCCCCCAAAACATTTCCGTATTTCCCAACATACTTCTCGATGAATCAGTTTTAGAGGGGGGCAGGTACATTTTCCCCCTTTTTTTTGCTTTTCCGGGGGGGGGGGGGCAAGTGACCCCCTTTCAATCAATGTCTTGTATGATGGAATATTCTACATTTACGTCGATGAAGAAAAAAACATTATTAAAAGATCTAACTTGATACGCAGAATTTAATTTCCATTGTAGGAGTTATTCTAAGTAAATATGTTCTGATATTCACCATCAATCAATTAGTAGCTGAGGAAAACGTTGTACACTTTTTAAATTTCTCCCTTCTCTTATGGGTAGGCAGGCCTTAGGGCCACAGTGTTCAAGTACACTTTTTGTTACCCTGGCCGGTTTTGAATATTTTATTGTCCTTGTTTTCTGTCCCTCTATCTCCACTCCCCTGTCAAACTGTCCACCCTCCCTTTCCTCCCCCTGATCCCCCTCCCCCCCCCCCCCCCGGCCCATTCCTTCTCGCATCCTTCAGTCACATCAGTCTTATCTGGTCATACTTTTTCAATTTC